CTGGAGCCTGCCCTGCACACGGCACGACTAGTGTAATTCTAGGCAGAGTAGCCACTAAAGAGCCTCCAGACAGACCATCCACCCTTTCCACCTCTGAAAAAGTATCAATTGTCCCTATCTCTGAGCACTTCCAGCCAAGCTTTTGGCATCGCCAATTCATCATCCAGACTGTGTCAGAGCGCGCTTATGGACAGATAAACCCAAAAACTTGTTTTATTTGGATTGCTCTACCCTCCAAGTCTGGCAGCTGAGCTAGGAGCTGCATCAGATAAACAAATCCTAACCCTGCCTCATCACTTGTGATTCACGTACACATAACACCTCCAAAAACTGTGGGAGAGACATTTACACAAGAGCTGATACCTCCAGCTATCCTGCAAGAGCTGCTCTTTCAGTTCGGCACACAAAAAAGGGGCATGAACAGCACTCATGCTCAAACGCAGCTTCTGCTGCTCCAGAGCAGTAAAAATCAGTGATTTAAGCAGTGATCAAGATCTCCTCCTGCCCAGTGATTTGTTCTAGTCCTTCCACAGTGAAGGATTTTGCTGATACTTGCTAGGAAACTCTTGGGATACAAAAATAAAGATGGACTTTACCTTTTGCTGAAACCAACGCATGGCTTCTTCCTTTCCAATTCTGTGCTTGGCTCCAATGTTGCCAGTCCTGCGTTTCTTGTCAGCAATGCTGAAACCAGGCCTGCCCAGCACCTGCCAGGAGAGGAGATGAACAGCACTATTTCATTCTGGCATTTATTTATTTTCTTAAACTTAACAGTTTTCTAGGAGGGAAGGCTAGGATTTCCACATCAGTAACATCTTGTTGTCTGAGTTGCATTATCCTCTACAGCCTCAATATAAACTGAAAACTAAGTAACTTATAAGCAGCCAGGTAAACTGACAGGGACAGCTCCTAAGTTGGACAACTTAGCACATACACTGACTCAGAGTAACCAAAACGAGTGTGGAAGATTCACTATTCCATACCCAGAGGCCTCAGCTCTTAAGAAAAGACACCTTGAACAGCATTGCTAACGTGTACACAAGTCTCCCTCTATTTCAGAAATGTGGAGTGAGGCACAGCAGAATGGAACAAGTCAAACACGGCAGCCGCCACCGCTGCTACGTGACCCATCCCCAGCCCTCTAAATGCAGGGAGAATCATCCAGCACTGCAGCCCCATCTTTCAGTCTGCATTCCCGAAGCCCTGGCTGCACTTTCCACTGCTGCTCTTTCCTTCCCCAAAGCTAGCACAGCTGTTTCAGTGTTATCCCAAGAGTACCAGTAAGAGCAATGGTATTTGTTTCTGAAGAGGCTTTGTGAGACATGTCACACATCAGGGATTTTATGGCAGCCCTGGGAATCTCAGTTTAGACTTGAATTCTGTTGACATTTTTCTATCTTCCAGCGCTTGCCAGCAAGTTCACGCGAGTCAGTTATCATTCTAGGTTCCTTCGAGTGTTCACACAAGCCCAGTAGCTGCAAGGAAGCAGGGAATACGCACCACATAAAAGTCTAAGCCGTAGATACCAATACTGGGATCGTATTTAATCCCCAGGTCGATGTGCTCCTGGATTCCAAAGCCAAAGTTCCCAGTGTCCGAGAAGTTATTTTTTCTCAACTCGTATTCTCGCACCTGAAACATTCATTGTCAGTCACTACTTCATTATTGACTGCAAATAGAGTAAGAAGTCCTGCATGTTCTACCAACTGCTGCCAGACCCCCAACTGACTTACATGCTACTAAGTCTTTAGCTCTAAGATTTTGCTCCCACAGCCTGCTCATAAATCACAGCAGCAAAGACAGAACCCCAAAAGAAAGCAGCGACTGCACAAGTAGCTCTTAAATAAGGATGAAATGGCAACCAGAGAAACAGCGCAACCACTGTGTATCAGACTGTATCCATGACTGACCTCTAACTAAACCAGGTGCACCATTTCAAAGCACACATCTTTTCAGTTGGTATAGATTAAGTTTTGTTCTTTCACAAACCAAAGATCCAGACCAGCCAAATTCTCACCTTCAACCCCTTCTCCAGAATCTCCTCTGCTTTGGCCCCGCGAACCGTGCAATGAACAGCAATCTTCTCATTTCTCCTGATTCCAAAGGATCTTACGGTGTATCGTGCTGTAGGCAGCAATAATTACACTTAGAAGCTATTAAAAGAATTCCCACTCAGGGGATTCAGAGCTTGCTGAAGAAGACCAAAGAAATAACTTTAAAGGAAAAAAACCAAAGAACCAAGGCAACCACACGTTCCCTCTTTGGGGATGAGGGCAGAGCAGCAGCCCCAGTCTGGAGGCAGAACTGAACTGACAGAAACGACCCCCAGTACCTGAATATTTAAGACCCCCAATTCTCACAATAAGGCCCACATCAGAGTAGACCTCCCCACACTGGCTCTGCCACGGAGCGTCTTCCCTGAGAGCCACACTGCCACTTCACCCTCTGCATGCTCAGGAAAAGAAGGAAAACAACCACTGCTGAAGCCAGAAAATAAACTGCTCCTTTGCAGCCCCCAGCACACGCAGCCCCCCCTTGGCAGCCAACAGGAAAACGTGCCCCTCACCTTTGGAGAAGACGGGGGTCTGGCCCGTCAGCTGCTCCAGCACTTTGGCCGCTCGGGTGAGCCTGTCCCCGCTCTCCCCAACGCAGATGTTGAGGCAGAGCTTGCGGATGCGCAGCTCCCGCATGGGGTTCTCCTTTTCACCTTGGTCTTGCTGCAGAGAAATGACACGGGAGCTA